CTTCCTGTGGCCTAGTGTAAATTTGACCCCCTGTGGGAGAATTTGGGACCTGTCCACCAGATATCAAAATCAGCATCTGGGGCTGGCGCTGTGGCACAGTGGGTTAAAGCGCCGGTCTGCAGTGCCGACATCCCATATGAGCACCGGTTCGAGTCCCTGCTGCTCCACTTCCAATCCAGCTCTCTGCTATGGCCTGGGAAAGCGGTAGAGGATGGCTCAAGTCCTTGGGCACCTGGACCCGTGTGGGAGACCTAGAGAAAGCTCCTGGCTCCTGGCTTCAGATCAGCTCAGCTCCAGCCGTTGCGGCCAACTGGGGAGTGAACCAGCGGATGGAAGACCTCTCTCTCTCTCTGCCTCTACTCTCTCTGTGTAACTCTGACTTTCAAGTAAATAAATCTTAAAAAAAAAAAAAAAAAAAAAAAAAAAATCAGTGTCTGATCCAATCTTAATCATGGTAACTGGAGAGGTTACTTCATGTGGGCTTGGTGTCCATGTCCTTGGTCACCCACTTGGAAGTAGCACTCCCTGGCCACCTTCCTTGTGCAGCTGTATGCCATTCAACAGAATCTGTTCCTTATTTTACCTGTGCTGAGGTATGAGATGTGCGAGGGCAAGGTTTTCCCATGTGTTCAGTGTGTATCCACTAGCTGAGGAAGGACTCCAGGGCAGTTCATAGTCCCACCACTGTTGGTTCTCGGAGCTCCTCTCGTAAAGCAGGCGGTAGTAGCTGTTACGATCATGGTTTTTGGCCCTCCTCGCAGCCGGACATGTTCATGTTGGGATTTTAACTGAAGAAATGCAGGAAGGGGTATGGCATCTCCAGGTCTGGTCCAGCAGAGCCTCCCATGAGCAACCTGTCTGCATTGCGTGACCTGAGGAGCCTGTGTTGAATGAGGCGAGTCTCTTGGTTTCCTGCAGAGTTGCTCACTCATCAGGAACAACTATTTGGGCTTTAGCTAAGTGAGAAATAAAGATCTATTAAACTGTTGAAATTTAGAACTTACCTGTTACAGCATAGCAATAACTTAATTAAGACAAACTAATAAATGCCAAGTTATTTCCTTCCTCATTCTGTTGTATATCCTATTGGTATCTTCTCTTTTTTTGTCATTGGCTGTTTAAAAAAAGATTATTTGGGGCCGGTGCCATGGCATAGTAGGTTAATCCTTTGCCTGTAGTGCAGGCATCCCCTATGGGTGCCGGTTCAAGTCCTGGTCACTCCACTTCTGATCCAGCTCTCTGCTATGGCCTGGGAAAGCAGTAGAAGATGGCCCAAGTCCTTGGGCCCCTGCACCCGCATGGGAGACATGGAAGAAGCTCCTGGCTCCGGGCTTTGGATTGGCTCCGCTCTGGTCGTTGCAGCCACCTGGGCAGTGAACCGACGGAAGGAAGACCTTTCCCTCTATCTCTCCCTCTCACTGTCTGTAACTCTACCTCTCAAATAAATAAAATATTTTTAAAAAGATTATTTATTCAAAAAGCAGAGTTATAGAGAGAGGATAGACAGACATAGGTCTGCTTTCCTAGGCACACTAACAGGAAGCTGGATTGAAAGTGGAGCTGCTAGGACTCTAACCGGTGTCCACATGGAATGCTGGCATTGCGTATGGTGGCTTAACCTGCTATGCTACGATGCTGGCACTTCTGTAGGTCACAAAAATAAGAGCAGGATTCGGATCAGTTCATAAGAACTGATTTCAGTGAATAACTATCGAGTTCTGGCCACCACAAGAGGCACTGTAACCCTAAAATCAATGATAAAATAAGCAAAGATAGTAAGACAGTTGAATATGAATAGGAAGAAATGAAATGGAAGGAAATGATGGAGAAGTGAATTAAATTTCCAAATGCTAAGCCTCTGTTTAGTTGGTTGTTTCTTCCTCACTGCAGGCTGGCACTAAGGTGAGAATGCAGACAGCTGCTCCACACACAGCAGCACACTTCGGCAGTTTGTTCCTCACGATCCTGTTAGGATGGTGAGCTGATTGTCATTGGCTAAAATCTCAGTGATGGAGTAAGATAGAAAAAAATGCCACAGTCTTAGTGTTTGGCTATATAAGACCTGCATTTCTCCCCCAGTGTGTCTTTTGGGTTTGAAGCTTTATTTATTTATTTTTATTTTAAAGATGTATTTATTTATTTGAAAGTCAGAGTTACACAGAGAGAGAAAGAGAGGCAGAGTCAGAGAGAGACAGAGAGGTCTTCCATCCTCTGGTTCACTCCCCAGTTGGCTGCAATGGCTGGAGCTATGCCAATCTGAAGCCAGGAGCAAGGAGCTTCCTCTAGGTCTTCCACGCGGATCCAGGGGCCCAAGGACTTGGGTCATCTGCTGCTGCTTTCCCAGGCCATAGCAGAGATCTGGATTGGAGGTGGAGCAGCCAGGGCTTGACCCGGTGCCCACATGGGATGTCGGCACTGCAGGCAGAGGCTTTACCCACTATACCTCAGTGCCAGCCCCTTATTTTCAGCTTATTTGAGAGGCAGAGGGAAAGTGAGGGAGGAAGAGTTGAGAAATCCTCCCATCTACAGATGTCCACAGTGGCCAGGAACAGGCCACTCAGGTCTACCACATGGGTGGCAGGGATCTAGGCACCTGAGTCTCCTCTGCCCCCCTCCCAGGGTCTGCATTAGCACAAAGCTGGCATTAGGAACCGGAGTCAGGTGTTCAGCCTGAGTACTCCAAGATGGGAGGTGGGCACCTGTCGTTATTTGTACTGTGTCTTTGCAGAACTCTGCATATGCTTGTCCTGAGTTTGTGAATATAAGGAGTAGATGACATCTTCAAAGTCTGGTGAGCCAACAGATACTAATTTAGCATTGGCTTTGTTCCATGAAACTCATACTGAAGTGTCAAGGCTTTATATACAGGGATGAGTCACTAAATTAGCACATGGGAACTTGAACTTGTCAACATGACATAACAGTTAACATTAACTCAGGGTGTACCTCATAGCTAGCTCCGTGTTAAGTGCTCTCCGTGGATCATTTTACTTAATCCTCACAGCGGTCCTGTGAGTTAGATGAGGTAGGTACAAAGTGTGGTCTCCCTTTTACAAATGACGCAGTTGGCGCAGATTCATTTGTCATGGGTCACACAGTCAACTTCAGGTTTTAAGAAGTTCACGTGAATAACGTCCCTCGCTCAGCAGTAGAGATAGTGTTCTCACGTGCTTTTCGTGGATCTACCTAAATCCTTAGTGGTGGTTGTAGACCACCCCATACCCATTTTATGAATGTGTAGGTTGTCTCCGGTTTCTCACTGTTACATATAACATTGTGGCAAGCCACATCATTTATGCTGCCTTCCATGTTTATGGGTTTTTTAAAAGATTTATTTTTATTTATGTATTTGAAAGGAATAATGAAAGGGAGAAGAGGAGAGACAGAGATCTTTAACCTGCTGGTTTACTCCACAAATGCTTGCATTAGGCAGGCCTAGGCCAAGCCAAAGCCAGAGGCTTAGAATTCCATTTGATTTTCCCACGAGAGTGGCAGGCACCCATCATCTTCTGCCTCCCAGATACGTTATCAGGGAGCTGGATTGGAACAAAGCAGCCAGGACTTGAGACTGGACTCTGGTGTGGGATGTGGACCTTGTAAGCAGCAGCCTAGCATGCTGTACCACAGTACCTGCCCCATGTGTGTGTGCTGTGTGAAACACCTGAGACCAGGCCTGCCCCACATGTGTGTGCTGTGTGAAACATTTGGAACCAGTTCCCCATTCCAGCCGTTCTTCCACCTTCCTGGCCAACACTAGGTATTTTCAGTTATAAAAATTTTTATCAATCTGAAAGGTGAATAGAATATTATATAGTTAAAAAATTTTTTTGCCTCATCCACTAATAAGGTTGAACACATTTTATAATATTGCCTCTGATTTTTAAATGTGGCTTTATTACGTATTTTCCCCATTCTTTTTCTTTGTTTTCTCTTGCTGAATTACAGGAGACTGTACATGGAAATTAACCCAATCTTTAAAAGTTTTTTGAAAAATTTGAGAGGCATAGAGACAGAGACAAACAGAAAGGAAGAGAGACAGAGGTCCTCTATGCACTTGTTCCCCAGATGTCCACTGCCGCTGGTGCTGAAGCCAGGATTTGAGAACTCAGTCCCCATCCCTGAGGTGCGTTTTTGGTACCCAGTGACTTGCGCCATCACCGTTGCCTATCAGGATCTGCAGGAGTCAGGAGCCAGAGCCTGTGTGGAATATGAGTGTCTAAACCGCTGGGATGAACACCCACTCCCTCATTCATTCATTCATTCATTCTCTCTCTCTCTCTCTCTCTCTCTTTAGGATTTATTTATTTATTTGAAAGGCAGAATTACAGAGAGGCAGAGGCAGGGAGAGAGGTCTTCCATCTGATGGTTCGCTCCCCAGTTGGGTGCAACAGCCGGAGCTGTGCCGATCTGAAGCAAGGAGCTTCTTCCGAGTCTTCCACGTGGGTGCAGGGGCTCAAGCTCTTGGGCCATCTTCCACTGGTTTCCCAGGTTATAGCAGAGAGCTGGATCCGAAGAGGAGCAGTGGGGACTGGAACTGGCGTCCATATGGGATGCAGGCACTGCAGGCGGAGGTGGCTTTACCCACTATGCCACAGTGCCGGCCTCAAGATGCTGATGCCCTTTCAAGGCATGCATTAGAAGTTAAGGCAACTTTGTCTGTGGTTGCTGTGGTTTGCAGACAGATGTGTCCCTGGAGCCTCCATGTGTTGGGATTTACTCCCCACCGTGAGGTACTAAGAGAATGGGAACTTAATCCACCTGTGGCTGTTCAGCAGTCCGCCTTGGTGAAGTGAGGGGATTAGATGAGGTCATTAGGGTGAAGCCTGCATGATTGAATCCTGGAGGCGTAAAAGCAATGAGAGACGCAGACACAGCTTCCTGCTTCCTACCTTGTCCAGCTCTGTGCATCCAGGCTCTGCCAACAGGGAGGCCATCTTCGGATGTGGCCCCTGGACCTTGCACCTGCGGAACCATGGACCATAGTCAGCTGCTTTTTTTTTTTTTTTCAAGGTTTAAAGTGGTTTTCTTTATTTTTAAAAGCACGAATAGAAAGCTTAACATACTTAACTAAGAAAGTTACACTATACAAAAATGTGCTCCATCACAGTTTTGGCAGATTGACTTCTGTGCTCTGAATGCGGCACTGAGTTTCTTTTAATCACTTACACTGGCATGCTCAGTTAATCAGGCTGTTTTTAAAAATACTCTGCTAGTTATTTAAGTATGGAATACATACAACAAGAGCAAAAGTGCAGATGATCGTGTCACCAACCCAGTGTTCCTGAAGAAAATGATGAGCCTGTTATTCATATCGGCCAGGGAACATCAAGATACCATTCTCCTTGGGAGACAGCTGTACTCCTTAATTGAAATGTGAGCATCTTCCTTCTTTCTGACTTTGCTTGAAGCCCATGTAGTAGCCAGTATGATAGCCACTCATGTACCAAGAGATTAACATACTTCCCAAGGCATCAGCATCATCAAGAGAATCTGGACATATGGGAGGTGGTGGAGGAATTACTGGTGGCCCAGAAGGAAATGGGGGCAGCCAGCATGACAGGAAGTGGGGTGGTAGGGGTGGCAGTGGCGGTGGCGGTGGTGGTGGCCCACTGAATTTTAGACCTGGCTTTCCAGGTCCCATTCCTGATCCTGGCATGGGGGGAGGCGGAGGGAGAAAGGAGTTCCAAGGATGAGCTTTTGACTTGATATTATTTGGTTTACTTCCAGGAGACCTGGAGGAGTTCTCACTTTCTTCTGTAGAAACTTGACTTTCATTTTCATTCTCCTGAGCATTGTGTTCTATGTTATTAGCCACTTCAGATGTTGGGGAAAGTAGATCAGACAGATTTTGCTCTTCTCTGTTTCCATATCCAGTGTAAACCACAACACAGGTTTCTCTCTTAAAATCAACTGAAGCAATTGTAGCTGGGTAGACGCAGCCGTCCTCCGACCAAATGGCACAACATTTGTCACCAACCTTCCACTGTTTTAAGGCAGTTGTGGTCTTCTTCTTTTGGCATTTATTCTTCTTAACAGGTTTTCTTTTTTTTTTTTTTTTTTAATTTTTTTATTTTTGACAGGCAGAGTGGACAGTGAGAGAGAGAGACAGAGAGAAAGGTCTTCCTTTGCCGTTGGTTCACCCTCCAATGGCCGCCGCTGCAGCCGGCGCACCGCGCTGATCCGATGGCAGGAACCAGGAGCCAGGTGCTTTTCCTGGTCTCCCATGGGGTGCAGGGCCCAAGCACCTGGGCCATCCTCCACTGCACTCCCTGGCCATAGCAGAGAGCTGGCCTGGAAGAGGGGCAACCGGGACAGAATCCAGCGCCCTGACCGGGACTAGAACCCGGTGTGCCGGCGCCACAAGGTGGAGGATTAGCCTAGTGAGCCACGGCGCCGGCCAACAGGTTTTCTTTTAGGTGTGACTTTAGGTTTATCTGAAGTTGCACAAATGTCACCATTCTTCAGAGCATGCTTAAATGACGCTACAGCTTTGTCATAAGCTTTTATCAATGCTGTATCATCCCAAATGTCAGAATCATCACTCTGGCCCGTTCCGCGCCGGAACAGCACCGAGTCCTCCGGCTCCGAAATGCCGCCGCCGCCACTGCTCATCGCCATAGTAGTCAGCTGCCTTTTTTTTTTAGATTTAAAAGTGTTTATTAGAATCTAGGACCTCCAGCTGGAGTGGCATGGAGGAGGCCTTCCAAGAGAGGAAAGAACCCAAAAAGCCTGTTGCATTCAGGTTTTTAAGTACAATTTCAAAAGACCAGGTTGCGGGGCGGGGGGACTTGACAATCAGGTTGGCATTCAGTTACCAGGCGGGGACAAAAACCATCAAAAGACCTCATTTACAATCCTCCATCCTGTCTGGCCTGCTAAGGGTGGGAGAGCTAACTTGTTTTCACAATAAGCTGTGAGCTCAGGAAGAGCTCCCTTGCTATTCTCATGGCAAATTTGGAGATTCTCTGTTCTGGCTAAAGATGTTTTGGGGAATGAAGCAACTATTTTATACCCCAAATTCCGTTGGAATCCTCTGACTACCTGTTAACCCATCTGACTCCTCACATCCCCCCCTTAACATGAATGGACCCTAACATCTGTTGGGGGGACTGGACGATGATCACCCTGCTGCTTTATGCTGAAAGGGGGCGTCTTTGGGAAGGGGGTTGCGACAGGGTTCTGGCAGGAGGTGGCTTCTCCAGGGCGAGGCAATGCCGGATCTCGGAAACTGCTGCCATCGAGAGTTCATGTGTGTGGCCACCTAGAATTTTACTTTTTTGAGTCTGGAGAAAACGAGTCTAACAAGCAGTTTAAACTCATAGGATATAAAACCAAGGATAGAGTCATTATTGGAGGCCCTAAGAAAAGTGTCTAAGTCATGAGCAAGAGTTTCCATTGCAGCTGCTGGCACTGTGGCACAGTGGGCTGATCCTGCGCCTGTGGCACAGTGGGCATCCCGTATGGGCACCGGGTCCTCTCCCTGATGCTCCTCTTCTGATCCAGCTCTCTGCTATAACCTGGGAAACCAGTGGAAGATGGCCCAAGAGCTTGAGCCCCTACTACCCGTGTGGGAGACTCGGAAGAAGCTCCTGGCTGCGCATTGGCCCAGCTCCTGCAGTTGCAGCCATTTGGGGAGTGAACCAGCAGATGGAAGACCTCTCCCTCCTCCCCCCCCTCCCCTGCCTCTCTCTGTAACTCTACCTTTCAAACAAATAAATTTAAAAAATAAAAAGACCCTGCCTTGGGCATTTCATTGCAGTCAGAGCGGAGGGTTGTTGATGAGCAGCACTTGGATCCTTGTGAGAGGGCAGAGCTGCTTGTTCGCGCACAGGCTGCCACCCTCAACGCCGCCCTTTGAGGCCTTTCCCACTCTTACAGTTTTCTGTGCTGTCACCCTTCTCTTTCCGTTACGCACAGACATAGTGTCTTAAGATTGTTTTATGTGTATGAAAGGCAGAAAAAAACATCCATTCTGCAACATGGATGAACTCAAAACATGCTAAGTGAAAGATACCAGACATAAAAGATCACAAGTTTTGTTGATTGCATTTATGTGAAAAATTCAGGGAAGGGGAAACCTCTGGAGACAGCAAGCAGATCAGTGGTGGGCTGGGCCTGGGCTGGGACTGCCGCAGAGCAAGAGGCTTCTTTTCAAGGCTGTGGGAATATCCTAAAACCGGATTATCATGGTGGGGACACAACTCTAAATTCACTGACATTTGGTCAGTTGTAAATGTAAAATGGGAAATTTTGGTGTGGGATTTATACTCTAATAAAGCTGTTTTCTAAAAAGAGCAAACGGGCTCAGAGCTTACCCGAAGGATTTCTCTGGAAATGCGGGCTGGTAAAGGTGATACACTTGGTTCTATGGAATGTTCCAGATGAATGACATGGAAAACTAGATAGAGTGGTGTCCCTTTCCCTGACCCTTACTCATGGAGCAAGACAGCCCTGCCTCCCCTGGAAATCACGAGGAATTGCACTTTCTGTGGCTGGAAGTGGTAGTGCTAGGTCCAGGGAGGTGGTCCACAGGGGGTGGGGTTTGCTGTGATCTTTAGATGTCTTAGAGTGCTCTCACTCACTCTGTCCACACACACACTTGCCACTTAGGGGATGGTTGATTTCTGTCTCTGATCCCATCTACTCTGCAGAGTGGTTTTATATTCCCTCTCAGCCCACTCAAGTGCGTCTCATGCACCAGCAGACACTTGGGCTTCAGGCTGCTCATGCGGGTTTGTTTGTTTTTTCAGCATTTGCACTTGGATCCTTGGCTGCCCATTGAACAGACGCTCAAATCCTGCAAGTCGTCATCTTTCAGGTGGTTGCAGAACCGTGAGGCCTTTGCGTGGTACAGGGAGGAGACAGCCGGTGTGCTGAGGAGATGAACGGGGAGCAGCAGCTTGATGCAGGTACTGGTTTCCCTGAGCAGAGGACGGAATCATGCAGCTCACCTGTGTTCAGCTGTCTCATTGGCCTCTCCCCCACTAACCCGGGGGCTCGTGAACAGCATCTCCTGCACTTGGCAGAGAACCTGATCTTAGGGACTGTTGGTTGATAAGTGTTTGCTGAAAAATATAAGCAACTTTTATTTTTTTAAAAAATAGTGCTTTGATGCTTATTTTCTGTTTTGCAATAATTATGGGGGGGCCAGCGCTGTGGCATAGCAGGTTAATGCCCTGGCCTGAAGCATCGGCATCCCATATGGGTATGGTTTCGAGACCTAGCTGCCCCATTTCCAATCCAGCTCTCTGCTATGGCCTGGGAAAGCAGTGGAAGATGGCCCAAGTCTGTGGGCCCCTGCACCCACGTGGGAGACCCCAGAAGAAGCTCCTGGCTCTTGGCTTCAGATCCGCAAGTCCCGACCATTACAGCCAATTGGGGAGTGAACCAGCAGATGGAAGACTCTGACGCTCTCCTCCTCTCTCCCTTTCCCCCTCTTCCCCTCTCTCCTTCCCTCTCTCTCTTTCCTTCTCTCCCTCTCTCCCCCTCCCCCTCCTGCCCTCCCCTCTCTGTGTAACTCTTTCAAATAAATAAATAAATCTTTTTTATTGAAAAAATAATTATGGATTCACAGAAGGTTACAAAACTATTACTGACAGGTCCCATATTCCTTTCACCCAGTTTCTCCCATTAATTAAATCCCATTTAACTATAATACAGACTGTGATACAAAATTCAGGAAATTGCTGTTGTTATAAAGTGTGTGGAGCTGCATGTCGTTTTGTCCCATGCGTGTCTGTAACCACCTCCTCAGGTGAGATGGAAGGCCAGTCGGTGAGCACAGAGAGCTCCCACACCTGTCCCTCCTCCCCAGCTTCCTTGACTCCAGGAAACTATTAATCTGCTCTGTGTCTCTGTAATTTTGTCACTTGGAGAATGTTTATAAATAGACTCACATGGTGTATGACTTGGAAAATGCTGCCCTTGAGATCCATCGGAGCTTGTGTACGTGGATAGCTGACTTTTTTTTTTTTTTTAAGATTTATTTTATTTATTTGAAAGAGTTGCAAAGAGAGTTCTTCCATCCACTTGTTCACTCCCCAAATGGCCATAGCTGAACCAATCTGAAGCCAGGAGCTTAATCTGGGTCTCCCATGTAGGTGTAGGGGCCTAAAACTTAGGCCCTCTTCCACTGCTTTCCCAGGCGTGTTAGCAAGGAGCTGGACCAGACGTGTAACAGCCAAGACTCAAACTGGCTCGAACTCATATGGGATGTGGGTGCTGCAGGCCAGGGCTTTAACCCACTGCAGGACAGCACTGGCCCCAGTAGTTAATAATGACTAGGTGCTGGTCCCTGGATATCCTGTAGTTCACCTAGCCAGTCATCGGTTGTGGTATACTTTGGTGGGTTCTAGATTTGGGCTGTTACAAATAAGTTGCTACAGGGGCCGGTGCTGTGGCGTAGCAGGCAAAGCTGCTGCCTGCAGTGCTGGCATCCCATATGGGCACTGGTTCAACACCTGGCTGCTCCACTTGTGATCCAGCTCTCTGTTATGGCCTGGGAAAGCAGTAGAAGGTCTCCCCTGCACTCATGTGGGAGACCCTGAAGAAGCTCCAGGCTCCTGGCTTCAGATCAGCCCAGCCTCGGCCATTGCAGCCATCTGGGCAGTGAACCAGTGAATGGAAGACCCCTCTCCCCTCCCCTCCCCTCCCCTCCCCTCCCCTCCCCTCCCCTCCCCTCCCCTCCCCTCCCCTTTCCTCTCCTCTCTCCTCTCCTCCCCCCTCCCCTCCTCTCCTCCCCCTCCCTCTCCCGTGTAACTCTGCCTTTCAAATAAAAATAAACCTTTTTTAAAAAAATTATTAAAAGCCCCAGATAAGTTGCTGCAGGCAGTCATAGGTGTGCTGCTGTTTTTCTGGGATCGATGCTCAGGAGTACAGTTGCCAGATCACAGCTTTCGTCAGGGAGCTGCTGAAACTGCGCTCCGCAGTGGCCGTGTGGGGTTGCTGTGATTTCACCTAAGCTGTTCTGGTGGGGGGGCAGTGACCGCTGAGCGTAAGGGCCAGTGGCTCTGAACATCTTCACATGTGTTTTGCTGGCGTCTCTGTGTCATCTTTGATGAGCTGTCTGTTCATGTCTCTGACTCATTGTTAATAAGTTTTTTTAATCACTGAAGATTGTTTTCCACTGTTGAGGTCTTGTTTTTTAAAACAAATTTATTTAAGTATTTTTTAAAGATATTTATTTATTTGAGAGGCAGAGGCAGAGAGAAAGAGAGAGGTCTTCCATCCGCTGGTTCATTCCCCAGATGTCCACAACAGCAGGAGCTGGGCCGATCTGAAGCCAGGAGCCAGGAGCTTCTTCTGGGTCTCCCACAAGGGTGCCAGGGCCCAAGCACTTGGGTCATCTTTCACTGTTTCCCCAGGCCATAGCAGAGAGCTGGATCAGAAGTAGAGCAGCCGGAACTAGAACTGGCACCCACATGGGATGCCGGCACCGAAGGTGGCAGCTTTACCTGCTATGCCACGGCACTGGCCCCCTGAAATATGGTTTTTTCAAAGTATAATTCACGTACCATGAAACTCACCCTTCTAGAAGTCATACTTCAGTGGTTTTCAGGATATTCAGGAAGCTCTGGAACCGTTCCTGCTATCTAATTTCACAGCATTTTCATCTCGCCCCAAAATAAACCATTAGCAGCTGTTTCCTGTTCTGCTGAGCTCTGGCAGTCGTTAATGTACTTTCTGTCTCAATGGATTCACCTGTTTGTGTTCTCGTTTGATTAATTTTAGTATGACTAATGTGTTTTTTTCTGCCTGCCACCATCATTATATTGGAGGTAAGTTTCTTATAATAGGATAATGTGGTCATATTTAATATACCTGATCTAAATACTGATGTTAGGGCTCATGTCTATTCTTTTCTGTTTTTCCTTTTTTGTTTTTCTGTCTTTTTGCCTTCTTTAATGAGAGATTTGCTTATTTACTTTTTTTAGAATTCCATTTTGATTAGTCTGTTTTTGAGAGTATCCCTTTTCATAGCTTACTCTGGTTGCTCCAGGTATTAAAACATTATTTATATATATATTACACTATATTTATTATATATTACTATAATTTTATTTGAAAGGTAGAGTTATAGAGAGAAAGAGAGACCACTTCCATCCGCTGGTTCACTCCCCAAATGGCCAGAACAGCCAGCGTGGGGCTAGACTGAAGCCAAGAGCCAAAAGCCTCTTTTGGATCTCCCATGTTGGTGCCTGAGGACTTGAGCCATCTTCTCTGCTTTCCCAGGCACATTAGCAGAGAGCTTGATTTGAAATGGAGCAGCCAGGACTTAAACCATTAGCCATATGGGATGCTGGTGTCGCAGGCTGCAACTTTACGTGCCACGCCATACCACCAGCCCCTATAACTGTCTCACGTAGTTCCTCTGTATACTTTGAGAAACACATTAGTTCACAGTAAAGTGTCAAACATAATTTAGAACACAAAAGAGAAGGAAAATGTGCCATAAAATCCACATTTTCACTCGGTTATCTTTTATTCTTTACTGAGTTTCCAAGATTTCTCCTTTAATTTCTGGTTAGAGAATTTCCTTTACCGTTTTTTGGGGTGGGTCTGTTGGTGACAGATTTTCCTACTTTGCTGTCATGTGAGAATGCGTTGATTTCCTCACTCATGATGGAAGGGTGTAGAATTCTATCAAGAGCTCTTTCCACACCTGAGAGGTGTCGCGCTGCCCCCTTCTGGCTTCCATGGGAGACCTGTGGCTGGGCCTCTCCCAGGCTGTCCTGAGGCCTCGGCACCCCTGTTTAGGTGAGATGTCGTTTCTCTTGTTGCTTTCGAGTTGCTTTTCCTTTGTCTTTAGGTTTCAGACATTTGACTTCTGTGAACTCCCTTAGGTTTGTTCTGTTGGGGGTTTCCCAGCTCCTTGACATTATCGGCGTCCGCCTTCCGCCAGACGTGGCAAGTTTTTAGGCGCTGTTTCTGCAGACTCTTTCCCAGCCCCACCCTCGTTCGCTTCTGGAACTTCCTTGGAACAGTCGTCAGCTATCCTGGGATTGCCCCTGTCTCTCAGGCTCTGCCTTTGCTCCCTTTGCTCCTGAGGGTCCAGGTTGAGTGTTCTCTGTTGTTCTGTCTTCAGTGTTACTCAGGCTTTCCACCATGACTTCATTCTGCTAGTGAGCTTAACCCCAGAGTTTTGCTTTTCAATTTGGTTACTGCATATTCAATTCTAAGATTCCCTTTTTGAGGTGGAAACACAGGGAAGAGAAGTGCTCCAGCTTACAGTGCCATACTCCACCATTGTAACCACGGCTCAGTAGCTTGTCTTTGCACAGGTGCCTCTTAGTTCTGTGCCTCTGGTTAATTTATTTTTAAATTTTATTTATTGAATTTTTTGTTTGAAAGGCAGAGTTACAGAGAGAGGAAGAGACACAGATCTTTCATCCACTGGTTCACTCCCCAAAATGGCTGCAACTGCAGGGGCTGGGCCAGGAGCTTCTTCTAGGTCTCCCACATGGGTGCAGGAGCCCAAGTACTTGGGCCATGCTCTGCTGCTTTCCCAGGCCATAGCAGTGAGCTGGATCAGAAGTGGGGCAGCCGGGTCTCGAACTGGTGCCCATATGGGATGCTGGCACTACAGGCGGCAGCTTTACCCGCTGCGCCACAGCACCGGCTCCCATAGTATTATATTTTAATGTGACTTAAAGAAACCATAGTTTTCTTTGTGTTTTTCCATGAATAGTTAGGCTCATTTGTTTTCATTCATTCATGTGCAATCTTTGGAATTTTTTCTTTCGATTTAATTATGTTCCTGGATTGTTTCAGGTATCAGCCTACCTCAAAATTAAATTATGTGGCAAGAGGGCCACTGTCAGCCTGGTCCTATTAGTGCTTTTTCTCCTCTGTTTATATAATGAGTTGTATTACTTTTTAACTAATTCTTCCTGTTCATTTTTTTTAAATA